AGAGAGAGAGAGAGAGAGAGAACGAGAGGGGGAGGCAGAGATGGATTTGCTGGACGCACTTTCTGTCGCGTTTACTAAGTAATTACATGATCAACAGAGGAATTGTCTCATGAATTACATATACATGATACATGAATTACATATACATGATAGTTAGGAGAACAGCAGCGGAGATCGGCGAAGGAACACCGGGAAACACTGTAAACAGATCATCAGATGATCATCAGCAGACGTGATGAAGGAACAGCATGATCCTAGGAGGAACAGAACGAAGATAAACCAGACGATCAGTCGAACAACTGGATCATTGAACAACATGATACTTGAACGAACTGTGTGATCATTAGAGGAAGTGCGTGATCAGCAGATAAACAACACAAATCGTGGGCATGAACTACATGACCAGTGTATGAAAACAAGAAACATCGTATGTACAACACAATGGGCAGCTGAACAACATGATCACTGTATGAACTGAGTTGCACGAACATCGTGAATATTACGTGAACAACACGCCTCGCTGTGTGAACATTGTGTTGTTTATCGGGTGATGACTCACCTTCATCCGACTGCTCACGCGGCAGCCTCGCTAGCTCCTCCTCAACGTCATCCTCCTCCTCCCCTCCTCCTCCTCCTACGCTGCTGCGCGGAGCATCCTCAGCCTCCGCGTCGTCGTCGCCATGGAGACGCACGCAGGGCTTCTTCTGATCAAGCTCCTCTCTCCGCCGCCTGTCAGCCTCCCTCCGCACTTTCTGCACGTAGGAGTCCCTGCAAAGGTGAGAAAAAAAGCGGAGGATAAAATCAGTTGACGAGCCCAAGGGCAGACAGAGACTGGTAAGAGAGCGAGAGAGAGAGAGAGAGAAGGAGGTAAGAAAGAGGAGAAAAGAAAGAGAAAATTAGAGTGAGAGAGAGAAAAGTCAGTGGCGAGAATAAGAGTGAGAGAGAGAGAGCGAGAGAGTGAGAGAAGAGAGAGAAGTGAGAGCGAGCGAGATAAACACACACACTCAGAGAGAGAGAGAGAGAGAGAGAGAGCGCGCGAGAGAACACGAGGGAGGAGGTGACGAGGCTGAGAGAGGACGAAGGAGAGACCAATATGAAGTTAGCTACAAGTGTGTGGGGGTGCAAGGCGACTCAGGCAACGAGAGGGTTAAATATATTCGTAAACCAGTTAGTTAGAAGCACGTAACGTTAGCGACCAATGACAGGTACAATAGGCGCACGCTTGGCAATTTGGATATAACTCGGTGAAAACCCACAGAATATTTGGTAAAGATCAGAGCAAATAGGTCTGTGTATTGATTACGACTGTATCCAACATTTCTTACTCTCTCTCTCTCTCTCTCTCTTTCATTTTTCCTGTCTTTATACCTCCCCTCCTTCGCGGTCTCTCTCTCTCTCTCTCTCTCCTTCTCTTACACATACACGCGCGCGCGCACACAACATGCACAGACGCTTGTACTATCTCTCTCTCTCTCTTTTCGCACTCTTACTGCCATTATCACTATCCTCCCCTCCCTGTCTTGGCGTGGGGCAATTTATCAGTGCTTGACATCTGACATATGACATTCCGTATCATTATACCCACCCTGCATTCAATGCTATTTCCCTGTACTAGACACTGTACAAGACCTTCCACACAACCCAACTATACAACCAACCCAACACAATCACTTCCCTCCCTCCCGAATCTTACGACCCCAGTCATACCACCCGCATAGCGCCAACCTACCTCATCCTCCTTCGTGCATAACCCAATCCCACCGCATTATTATTATAATTATCATCGTCATCGTCGTCGTCATCGTCATCATCATTACAACCATCGTCATCATCATCACCATCATCATTTTCGTGATCGCCGCCATTATCATTACCATCATCATCATCGGCACTGCCAGCGCCACCACTAGCAGCAGCAGTAATAGCGGAAGCAGCAGCAGCAGCAGTAGCAGCAGTAGCAGTAGCAGCAGTAGCAGTAGCAGCAGCCGCAATAGTAGCAGCAGCAGCAGCAGCAGCAGTAGCAGCAGCTGTAGCAGTAGCAGTAGCAGCAGTAGCAGCAGCAGTAGCAGCAGCAGCAGCAGCAGCTGTAGCAGTAGCAGTAGCAGTAGCAGAAGCGCACTGTAGGCAGCACTGAGATAATCTGGGTAACTGAGCATTAGCACGCGCGCGCTCGTGGGGGAGACACGATGCCAGCTATTCAAGTGTTTGTCATCAATCTCTGCTGCCAGCCCACTGCTCTGCGCTCGCTGCCACGCTCGCTCGGCACTCCGCTCACTTCGGCGCAAATCGCTTTTGAATGAGGCGGCAGAATCGGATAATATAAAGTTGCCCATCGAGAATCACTACTGCAATCGAAGTCAAGATGGCCGCGTGTCGACATCGCGGACGTGACCAAGTCACGGGCGAGAATCAAATGTCACATCTGGCCGCCAGCGTGAGGGTCGCTCTTCGTCCGAGACGTAGGGTTTTGTTTGGCTGATCATATGATACCTGATCACAG